CCGCCTGGTCGTGCCGCGCTTAGCGCGGCGCCTGCTGTTAATCCTGTGTAAACGGTGCTTCTAGTGAGCTAATGGGTTTGGGGGCTGGATGGTGACACACAATGGCATGTGCCAATCGAGGGCATTAACCGAGCTAATTATACTCCTACAGTTTCTGTGTGTAAGCAAAGCCAAAGTAGAATTTGATACCACGCGAACTTCTGGCACCAAAGGCAACCTGGGGCTGGGCCGGCGCCAGGCCCGGCCCATGCCAGCAGGTTTTGCCAGCGCAGACCGGTCAGCTTGAAACGTGGACAAGTGCCCCCGTGCCCAGCGCCCATTGTCGATAATCTGCCGGCGTGGTGCTGAGGACTGGGAGCTGACAGTGCAGCTTTTGCAGCAGATACTTGTAAGTGTGGACAAGGCTGAATGAGGACTGACCTCCCCTGGGCCGGGACCGGCTGCAATTTTCACAGATCCTGTTGTGCTAAATGCTTTTAAAACCTTTAAGTGCCAGTAGGCAACCTTGAAAGTAAGCACAGTCCACCCAAAAGAGCTGGTAACCCTCCTCTCTGAGGAGACAACATTCAGTCCCTTGTGCCTGAAAACCTTAATTTCACTGTGTGCTGCTCCTGATACTGCTTCCTTCAGTGTCATGCTACAGGGATGCAGCAGCCCCGAAAGTCTGACAAAATCATCACTCCAACCTGTATTTTCTGTGATCTGCTGCCTCCCTGACCTGCTCAGACTCCCAATTGCCAGCTATACGGACCAGAACCTCAAAGTGCATTAAAAATCACAGCAGGTACAACATTCATCCTCCTATAGATGGAGGTACCAACACAGAAAACTGTCAGGTACTGGTTTTAAGATGAACTCTGCATTTCTGGCCTTTCTGGTGGCCTGGCAGCTGCACTTTATATCCATTGGTCAAGAAAGACCAACTTTATAATATCAGGAGACATGATCCAGTCTTTTTATGCCGTTGGTAAAATGTTGCTGTGAGCAGTAACGTGTAGGCAGGAAAACCTGATGACATATAATCGTTACTGTGGACTGAGATTACTTTTTAAAACTGGCAAAAGGGCAACAACGAACTTTTAATTGGAGGGATCAGAATTTTTCCTGCTCTCAGAAATGAGCCAGGTCAGAACAGGAAAAAAAAAAAAAGAAAAAAAAAAAAAAGGTCACTTTTAACCAGGAAACTTTACAGATTAAAATGGCAATGTTGCTGAGAACCAAAAAATGCCAGGGCTGTGGGGTAAGGAGTTGCCAAGCTACTGCACGGAGTAAGATCAGCTGTTTCTTTTCCTTATTTAGCAACTATTTTGCCCTTGAAAAACAAAATTTACTGTAATGGAACCCCAAAGGGCAAGTGCTTGGGCAGGATGTTATTTGGACTAGCTGATCTTTAAAAGTGTCTTCCAACCCAAACCACTGCATGATCTTATGATTTAGCATCACTAGGAGGCAAGCCAAGCCTAGGCAGGGCCTACACAGCTCTCTTGCTACAGGTATCAGTGGAATGAATGAAAAAAAAGAAAATAAAAAGAGCAGAAGAGCGCCTCAGTGCCCAGGAATTCACCTTTGACTAGCTGCCATTTAGCTGCTGTCCCACCTGCCAAACCATGCCCTTTATAAAGCTGCTTATCTGAGGCTGCATTAGGGCTACCTGGTACAATTAAGGAATGGAAATTTTTAACTAGGAAAGGAAAAAGCTGGCAGTAACTATTCAGCTCCATTGCTCAGAGCAAATATGGTTGGTGTGTCAGAGAGTCCAAAGGAAGGAGGCCACACGCTGCCTTACGGCACCGTCTGGGGCCCATTCCCTTCAGATCTGGAGCACAGCGTGGCACTGCAAAGCCAGTCTGATACCAGAGGGAGGGAGAAGTCTCAAACTGATACCAAAGGAGATGGGGCAAAAAAAATGACAGCTAGGATAAAACCCTTCTGTCCAGGGAAAGCTGAGCACTTCAGCCCAGGCACAGCAGTGCCAGGCCCTGGGAAGAAGCAGCGTGGCTCTGCCCAGAGCATGGCACAAGCCATGGTGCTGGCTCTGAGGGCAGACTGGGTTAGCATCCTTGTCTGTCCATGGTACACGGCTAGTCTTTCCTCCCCCTCCCTTTTATTTTGTGAGATATGCAGAGATAAAGGGAAATAAATGTTAAAATAATAAGTGCTTTTAAATGGATGACTCCATCCCCTCTGGAGTGGTGTTGGCTTTGTGTGAGGGTGAGCATGTCTTTGCCACGCTCTGACCTGGCTGTCCCCTGGGGGCCCACCCGCTTGCCAAGGTGGCACGTCCTCATACTTTGGGGGCCTCCTGGCCCTCTCTGTGCAATGAGCCTTTCTTGGCCCTGTGAGGCCAGCACGAGGCTTCAGCCCCCTGGCTTCACCTTCACAGTGTGAGTGCCTCTACGCTGTGTCTACCCGGCAATAGCCTTGCTGCAGAGGCCCGGGCTCACGTTATTCCCAGTGTGGTCCATGCAGAGACATTTGTTCTTTCTTTCCCTGCCGCCTCCTGTTTCTACATAGTGCACAGGTAAGCTCTCTGACCACCCAAAATGTCACTCTGTGCCTCACAAGTGTGGCAGGCAGAGAAGCAGAGCCCACAGAGCACTGATTTGGGAGTGTTTGTTCCCTCACGTTTTCCCTGAGTTGGCTGTAAAGGGTTTGGGCTAAGAACAAGAAATCAGAAGGGAAGGGAAGCCCCAAGTGTTCCCAGACAAGGAGAAAGAACGTACATGTGTGTGTGCTTGTGCATATGTAAAAGTGTTCTGGCAACTGCTGTTTTAGGCGAGAGCAAATCACTGCATTCAAAGCCACACATGGACTAACGGTTTGTGCTGGGCACATGGCAGTGGCTGGTGTGTGCTCAGTGAGTGGCACATCTGTGCGGCAAAGGCATTGTCACCAGCTGTAGTTTAGCGGCACAGCCAAAACATTGTTGCTGCAGCACAGGCAGGTGCTCTCTGCCTGCCTCCCAGCTGGCCGGCTTCCTAAAGCACAGGGGCTCGCACAGCATCCTTCCTGCCCAAACGCACCTGTGTATGAGCAGGTGCACGCCTGGCTGTGTAGCCTTGCCATCCTGGGCCCTGGCAGCGATGCAAAGCAAAGTGTCCCGATGCCAGCGGTGCTGGCACGTGTGTGCGTGCACACGCCTGCGCATGTGTGCTGCCTCACAAGGGCAGGAGCCTGCTTTGCCCTCAGATTTGCATCCTCGAGTGGGGCTGCCTGACAGGAAAGCCCAGGAAAGGCTTCACTGGCCTCACGTCACCCTGGGGGTGAAGCACTGGGGTAAGAACCAGCTGGGCAAGGGGGAAACACCGTTTTGCATCTGGCACCTGCTCAGGCGCTGGTCTGGCCTGGCAGGAAACGCCACGTGTGGCTGAGCTCCAGGAAAGTCAGCAAAAGGTGCCCATAGTCACCTCGGGAAAAAGCTCATCAGTCTGTCTGCCACACACACCCACCCATCGTGCACATGCTGGCCAGGGCAGATTTGGCTTCCTCAGGCAGGATGGGCAGGTCACGGGGTGCTGGCCCATGCGACACTTGCACTGGCCGTTCCCTTGCACGCCTGTGCTGTTTGCAGGTGCTGCTCTCTAGGAGCCGGCACTGACGTGGGGGTTTGCAGGGTGGGGGTTTGCAGGGCTGGGGCTGGCTGGCCCCCGCAGAGTGGGTACGGCCGCATGCCTCGGTAGGGGTTTCACACCTGAACATATGCAGGTGCTGCTCTGCAGTTACGGGCCAGGCGACGGTTTTACTGCTGAGCAGTAACTCTGCATACACAACTGTGCTCAGTGCTGCAGAACAGTGTTACTGCTGTGTCCCACGAGGCTGGCAACATCTCAGCCTTACCCAGGACTGATAAAGCCACCAAACCCACTGTCCCTGACCCCTCTTTCCTGCAAACCCACAAGCTAAGTCCAGCCTGGTCCTGCAGCCAGCATGCTGGCGGGGAGGGGGCTGTAGGTAAACTGTCCTCCAGCAAAGCTCAGCATCACCCCAGGGAGGCATCTGCTACATCCTGAGGCCCGCTGAGGATTAGTAACTGGCACTAACGCAGGTGGGGAGGGCAGGTCTCAGGCCCCAGCTACCACTGGTACAGGTTGTGCAGAGCATGGCCTGGGCAGAAGGTGGCTGCTGGCTTCCTCCCGCTGGGAATGATCCATCCTTTGGGAAGTGGAGGGGACCCAGAGAGGGCCATGGTGCAAAGACAGGCTCGGCAGGAGCCATTCCTGGTGGTACCAGGGATGGAGGATTCCTGGTACACCCTGGTACGGCTGCAGGTGGGCAGAAGGTGAACACATGCACACACAGAGGGGGTTGTCACAGAGGGTCTCTGAGCTCCCTGCCCGCACAGGGTCCCTGCGGGAAGCGTGGGGCACTCACGGCTGGGATGTGCCAGTGGGAAAGGACTTCTCTGGCAACAGGCTGGGGAGCATGCCCAGGTCCAAGGGACTCTACAGCCTCTGCTTATTGCCGAAGAAACAGACAGCAAAGCCAGCT